ACTTTAAATTAAAAATTAATTCCAGGGATAACTTAAATTTAAAAAAAATTTGTTATGTTATTAGAGTCAAAAATTTAGAAAATCATTTGAAATAAAAAAAACTAATTGATAAAATTAAATTTTAAAAAATATATTTTAGGTACTTATCAGAAAATAAAATATTAGGGGTATTAAAATTAGTTGAAGGAATTCTAAGATATGGTCAACTATGTACGTATGCATGTATATATCTGCGCACGCCGATATATATATTTTTAAATGGTAATAATAATATTTTATGTTTCTTATAATTTTGTTTTTTTAGTGGTGATAGGTATCTACAAATAAAAAAGTAGGCTGAGAATTAATAAAATCGGTCGAGGGGATTCCGAGATCGCACTGATTACACATATACACATTCACAAAAGAGATAGACTGACATAACAGTCAAAGTACTCTATTTCGATTCTAAAGTTCATGGACACACTTATATTACGTTATCTCAATACAAAGCTTCCTCCATAAGCAAGCAAAAAATATGTACATGTGAGTGGGTATACGTAGGTGTATAAAAAATATAATTATTAAAGCTGCAGTTTTATAGATTTAGTTTTACTTACTGCTGATTTTATTGACTTACAAATGAAAATCTACTTTAAAATGCTTCTAGTTATTTTAGAATGTTTAACTGATACAGGACGCGAACTTCATTCGTTGGGTTGGAAACCAAGTATCTTTTTGACTTGTCCAAAGCGAATTTTATATAATTTCTTTAACTGATTATGATGCCATACCGCTTTAACTTTAGCACGTGAATTCTTAACTGATTTTCCCGACTGATTTTCTATTTACCTTGGGTTCGTTCATTTTCTGGTACCCATTGCCATTTTAGTTACAGTGATATCTTTTTAAGAACACTTTTTTTACTTTTTATTGTTTTACGATATTTTACAGTGGAAAGTTTAAAATAACTGTATTAATTGAAAGATACTCGATTTAAAAAGGGTATTTGACATTATTTGTGTAGTGATGATATTTTTTGCTGTGGTGATTAATCTATAGTAGTCCCGTAAGCAAAACATATAGCTGCTTAAACAAGTTGGTCACTTTTTTTTCTGTCATAATTATAAATATACAGCCTCGTCATGCTATCCATAAACCAAAAAGTATATTTAAGTCTACGTAAATTGTTTTTTCGTGCAAACAATTACTATGAACAACAAATAAGAAAATGAAATCTACAAAACACTTAGTAACATATCGGTCTGGGATTCTACTTTGGAACAGTACATTGTAAATCTTTGTTACAAAATAGAATATGATTTAGATATATTCATGTAAGTTAAAAAAAAAATCTGAAACACATGATGACGCTAGAAAAAAAACAATGAGAACATGAAGTGACGTTAAAAAAACTTACTTGGTCGTCGAACATGCTCGAAACGCGAATCTGAATCGGAGGCGGTGAAGGCGACTTTTTTAATTCAGAATCCAGACAAGATAGAGTCGACAGAGTCAGGCGTAATGATTTAGCCAGGCTCTTGGTAGCCTCTCTCAACAATTGACGTCTGTTCTACACCAACGAGAGAAAGAGAGAAAGACACAAACACTACCATGACTACCACCTCCATTACCACCACCACCACAATCACCGCGTCATGAATAAGTTTTTTTATTTAGTTTTTACAGAAATTTTATAAAAGTCATTCTTCAAAAATCATTCGTTAAATGGGTCTGAAAAAAATTTAATATATTTTCTTGTACGCCTTTCAAGCTACTATTTTTTTCCTTAATGTAAACTTTATGACAAATTAGAAATATCGTGTTTATTCTAGAGAGTTGCTGTAACACAATTTTTTGTTTATCTCGAAGTTTTAAAAATAAATTCTTCCAAAATTAAAAAAATGAACTTTTCTTACCGTGTGTGATTTTTTGACTTTTAAAAATTAAAGGCGTTCACGTAAGAACTGTTAACCTTTGAAAATTAACTTGCCCTGTTCGCCACATAAGTGCTATTCAACCGGAATGTTAAGGTGGCGAGAGCTCCGATGGAGATGGAGATTGTGTAAATTAGACTCATCCTTGAATCAAAATTATATCGATCCAAAAAATCATATCTATGTCAAAAATACTGTCAATTTCTATTGAATCTTCCAGTTTATACATTTTTTTCAAGATCAAATCTTATTAAAATCAATCATCTAGAGCTATTTTTTCTGAATTTAGTTTTTAGAGAGAAGGGGTTTTGTTTATTAACTAAGTAGATATTTTATCATACACTTTTTAAACATTTATGTTATATTTATACATGTTCACATTTAAATTCTACGTAGTGTAAGCTTTGCAACGCGGGATAAAAATATTTTTTAGGACAAATATTTACATTTTTCAATAACAGTAACTCATAAGTTACAGTTTTGATAATTCATATTAATACAAATAAAATTTTTCGAAAACATTAAAAAATTTTAAGTATAACGTATTACGTGTAATAAATATTATATTGATGCACTTATTAGTAAGGACTGAAATCACAATCTAAAAAAAAATTGTAATCAAACCAAGCACCCCTCATTTTAACTAAAAAGAAAAATTTTCAATAATAGTGATTAAGTGAATTTTTCGTCAATAGTGATAACAAAGAAAAAAAATTTTTGGTTGTATTAGCAAGTTTTGACTACGAATACATTCTTCTTTTAGTTTGAAAAATCTGTTAAATTGTAGATTTGTTTTAGGTAAAAGATTTACATAAACTTTTTTTTTAATTTTATGATTTAAAAAATAACTTACACTTGTTTGATTTTTACATAATTATTGACTTTAAAAATTTTTTGAGTAATCTTAATGTAGAAGAAAACAACTTTCAAAATAACGAGATTGTGCAAGAAAAAGGTGTTACATCACTACTCAAGAAACATACAACAAACATGTTTCTTTTATTAAATTGCTTAAATTGCTTGTATATTTACTGTAAAAATACTGTATACTTTCATGTAGTCGTTCAAGTTTGATAAAATCTACTTTATAGAGAAATTCGATTCTCGTATCAAGCGTATGTTTTGTAATAAAGTGTATACACAAAGCAAAAAGTCAATTGCATATTTTCTACTTTCACATAAGCAAATAGTTTTAATATAATATCTGTTTTGTCGATAGAGTTATACGTGAACATTATCAAAATGATGTATACAATATGTATAAATAAATGTGTAAATATAAATATTATTGCCGTAGCTAAATAAACTATCCAACCTTTGTCAATTTGTTAGCTAAAATAATACCTAGAGTATAACAGGTGATTTCCATGCGATAACACAATTTTAAGACAGAACATTAAATGTGTTATTGAGGACAGTCGCATTAAAAACCTACCTTCTCAGGTGATCCTTTTTGTGATCTGGGCTCCTTCAGCGCTCTGCACCGGGACTCGTTCAAGCGTCTCTGAGCTGATCTTATCATGAGTAACTGAGGACAAATTTCACAAAATATCAGTAACGATGTTGCACACCATACTTTTACGACACATGAAAATTATTACAGTAATATTATAGAATATGCTTCAGAAATAGGTTGAAATTTTGATTAATTACAAGTAGATTACATTTTTTTCAAATAATAAAAAAAAATTCGATTTTAAAACCCCAAAATCAAAATTAGACCGTTTTCAAAAATGTCCACAAAATTAAATTCTAATTTTTTTTTTGAATCACAAGATGTTTCGTCTAACCACTCACGTATCTACCCGTTTATCTATACTTTATGATCATGAGTAGTACTGATAGAAACAACAATAAGATATGCAAATATTTTTAGGGTTGGTTAATAATCGTCGCATGTAATTTAAAAAAAATGGAGTAAGTAAAGATAATTCTTCATTCACCCCGTGACAGTATGTTATGAAGTTGAAGATCTATAAAATTCCCAAAAATTGTTAGACAGTGGAACACTTCTTCCAAACTACAAAAAAAAAAAAATAAAAAATCTCCCACAGGTGTAACGATTGAATAAAACTTGCCAAAGCTTACCATATGGGCTGGCTCGTAGGGCTCCATGCTGAGGATATAGACGCTGAAGTTCAGAGCGAGCCGAGTGATTCGGAGCACCACCAGGGTAGGCAAGAATATAATCCACGGCAGCGGCCTTTTCAGCTCCGTCTTGCCACATGGTTCACCATTCTTTTCTGAACAAAGAAAAAATAAAAGAGAGAAAACGATAAATGTCTGCTACCGGTAAAAATGACCATATTCTTTCCTTCCTACGAAATCTAACCGTACATAATGTTTTAGTTATTCACAGGTATTTTTGAGCATGTCATTTTACCCCCCCCCCCCGAGAAATCTCTTGCGGTTTATTTATTATTACCTTCCGTCTTCTCCGGCAAGGGCAAGCTCCATTGCAGGCACTCGTCCAGGATGGTCAGCACCTTGTCACCCATGCTGAGCAGCTTCTGCCCAACGGTTGTCCGCGCTACCGAGTACATTCCAGATTTGAAAACTTTGCCCACTTTTTTGAACGGCATTGCTGCAAAAAAAAGAGGAAAAATGAAAACTACTTCTTGCGGAGTCTAACACAGTTGTCTATACTTACTGGCCACGCTGTAGTTATCAATAAAGATAGCGGTGGGAAAGAGAAAAATAAATGGTTTATTTGTGTATCGCTGACTTGTCTACGGTTGAGCAAGGAAAAGAGTCAAATATACTTTTTTATTTTTTTCCCAACAGTTCTAGAGTAAGAGTCTTATGATTAACGAAATTCCACTAAATCGTTGGAAGCCACGCACTGCACACGTGAAATACGTACACACCGCTCGCGCGCACAGTACAGAAACTTTTCGCGTCTTCTTGGACTTATAAATAAACATAACAATAAGAAAGGGGCCCTCCCGATAAATTCGTATCGAGAAGGCACGACCTCGGCGTATCAGGCGTCGATGTGCGGGAGAAAGAAAGAGTCCTCGCGCGTGCTCCCCGTATGCGACGTGCCGACGTCTCTTTTTCCCCGTTTTACTTATTGTTGTTGTCATGCGGTGTACTTTGCTTGTGTTTCTCTCGAAGCTCACAATCATAACTCCTGTGAACTACTGTTGGGGCATTGAAATTTCAATTTTCTTTTCTGGCGTGTCGGGTGGACCTGCTCGGGGATACTTTTTCAAAATAGTACATACGTGCTTGAGTTGAAACATTTTTTTTTTTACCATCATGATCACTACTTACTTTTTACTATTTATAATCAGGGTAATAAATACGAACAAAAAAAAATTTTTTAAATAGCGTGGCGCATTTTGAAAAAAAGATTAAAACGTATTCGTCAACGTATTTTTTCAACTAATTTATAATAACTGATATTTTTTAAAACTAAGCTAACAGTACATCGAACTATCTTTTGTTAAGTGTTGTATTTTATGACAAAAAATTTTCCAGAAAAAGTAATATTCTACGTTATCAGAAAAAAAAAAAAAAAATGATTTCAAAGCTTTCAAACATCTGTAAAACGATTGTCCTCAAGGCTGGATAGCGGATGTGAGATTAATTATTGGTAAAAAAATACAAATTATTTCGTATGAGTAGTATTCAAAACATTATTGGAAGTTATAAAATACTTGAATTTTTCATTGTCGTGTCGTGGTTTTGAAAGAACGCAACGATTGATTAATTTAATCTAAAGCGGAATATATACGGAGGCTGTGGCAAAAAGAAGCAATATTTTTGCAGAAATGAGGAAACACGTTATCTCGAACGCACGGATTTACTGAAAAGTCGAATAAAATTTGGCTTTATAACTCTCTCCAAAGAGAACAGTGGTTGTATGATTATTTTATAAATATAAAGTTTCATTTAATAGCGATATACAATTTTATCTCGGTTGTTACCTAATCTACTCGAAAGATATGCGTTTCGCAATCACGAGGCCGCCGTTTTAATAAATTTCACTTTGATGCATTCATTAAGCTCGTCAAAACTACTATATTAAATAATTAATTATCTTACGGGTGACACATTTTTTTTCTCTTGATTTTTACATAATTATTGACTTTAAAAATTTCCAAATCGATTCATACCCTTGATAATCAAGAAATTTTATTATTCGTTGTAATTGAAAACTTAATTAAATGCAGGCAGAATATTTTAAGAATTATACTTTTGGATATTAAAAATAATTCACAAAAGAATAACTTTGACGGGTATTTTTAGTCATTGCATGTAAAAACAATTAACTTGAGTTGTTAGATTTGACAAAGATCTGTTTTCAAAAATCTAATAGCGAAACTATGAAAGATAAAACTCTTATCAAATTTAAAGGGTTAACATTTGAAAAATTCCTTTCCTCAGTAAAACTTAAAGCATATTCGAAACAACAAATATTTTTATTCTCCAGGAAATTGCGGTAGCCAAGGCGTTTGTCTTGGCTTCAGAGGTACTGACGACAAAGAAAGGAAAATGGTGATATTAGTGGAATATTGTAAACATCGCGAGTCCAGATGATAACGCGTGCAGCAAACGGATGAAGTATGTAAGGAATGAACTCCGACTGAAAAGTCACAAAATCATGCAAACCCGGTGGTTTACCTGGTTTTTTGCGATTGCAGAAAAATTATAATCGTAATTTATGTACAGTGTATCGCGTTATATACATGTTACACGCGTAAAGTTATCAAAGATTTTGCTACAAGAGTATTTCAGATATCGTGAAATACTTTACATGCATTTTAAATGATTTAACTTATATTAACATATGAAAATCTATGTCTCTGAAGAAATGCAAAATGAAATATAAAGAAAAATTCGTATTTATTACTTTTATTTAAACTATTTTTAAAAATATCTAGGCTTCAACATTGATATAATAAGTTGACAAAACTTACTAACATGTGCCGATTCAATGAAGTTTATGTAATTAGGTAAGTTTTAGTACGTAACTACAGGATTTATTTTTTAATTTGTGGTAAATCTGAGATATCGTCAAGACCTTTGGAGTTTGGTCTTTATATTCACGACGTCCAGTTTAAGCCTTTCACATCAGATATCTTATCTATTAAAATGAGCTGTAATAATAACACGTAATTTCCGTGTTCTCATTGTTGATCTGCCTTAAATTTGTACCTCGTTTCTGTTAATATTTTTATAACTTTTATTCCAATTTGATTTTATATTTGATAAATTATAGACGAACATACAAATTATTTCCGACTGCATCAATGTTTATTACCGTTACCATGACCTTTGAACCATTTAATATTAATTTATTTAATGACAGTAATTGTTAAAACAATTTATTGAAAAAACAAAAATAATAACCTAATAAATTATCAGCGTCATACGGTTATCAAAATACCATAAGTCATACTTAAAGTAACTTTGACTTTGTGAAATTTATTAGGATTAATATAGTAATCTGAAAAATAAGCCCCATTAATATAATCAAACGTATCAGATGCATTACATTTGTAATTTATTCATAGATTATATTCTGCTATAAAAAAAATGAAAAAACTTTTTATTGTAAAAAAATTATTCGCTTTACATTCAGCGTTGCAATTATTTTTCACTATTTATAGCTTGTCTCGCGCATAAGATAAGATGTCTTGAATTATACAACAGCTGTCGCGTTTTTTCGTAATAACTATAGAGCTTGTTGCGTACAGGTCAAAGTGCACCAAATTTTTGCTTGTCTCTTATAATTCAAACAGTCATGTATAAAGGTTATTTTAAAACTAAGANAGCTGTTGATACTTGCTTTGAGATAAATCTAGTTCAACAAACAATGAAAGAGCTTCGTCGTCATCGAAAGGAAGATTTTGATCGTCGAACTCTAAAGATTTTCTTACTTTTGCAGCTTTAGTAGGGCTTTCATGCGAAATGTTATCAATAACCTTCGCAAAATCTGTGTTGCCTTCAGACCGCAACTTAATCTTTGCTGCATAAACAAGTTCTACAGATGATTTTTCTTTTCGTAATGCTTCTGTCATTCTACGTTTAGTACGGTCAGAACCCTCTGTAAAATCAATTTTTCGACGACCCAATGCAGCCGGTTTTTTCTCAGTTTTTTCTTCTCCTTTTTTTTCTTCTACTTTTTTCAGTTCAACAGATGTTTTGAGCCAATCGTGATTGTTTTTCTCAAAAGCATCTTGTTTTCTGTGACAAGCAGTCCATCTTGTTTTAAACTGATGAACCAATTTTGAGATTGCTTGTTTATGATCATTGGATAGTGAATGGTTTGAACCATATTTATCTTTATAAAGATTTTCAACTTTTGCATAAACTTTTTGAATATCTGTTAATACACCTTTGAATTCATTGAATAAATCCAGTCTAGTGATTGTTTTTGCGCCGTCATTTGCAGTTAAAGTATTTGAACCTAAAAAACAAACAAACAAATAAAAATGAAACAAACCTTCGCAGAATGCAGTAAATTAAAAATTTTAGCAGGTGGATCCTTTGTATTCCTTTGTATCCAAGACGAGGATTGACATACGCACAATATTTCACAACAATCAAAATAACTAATTTCTCTTCGTTTTCCAATGTAATTCTTCTTGTAAAAACTTTCTTGTTTCCAGAACAATCCAAATGACGCAAAAAAAGATCAATTGTATCACATCTTTTTTTTTTCAATGCTCAATCAAAGGGCATCAAAACGCATATTTCGAGTAGGATAACAAATTTTCCCAATTAGAAAAAAAAAAAAAAAAACTTTTTTACGGAGAATGAACGAAAAGCAAGCCAAACGGCTGCTTGTAAATGCAATTGATGCGCAGCGTCGACAAACACGAAAAGAGGCGTCTTTTCTGAGTGCCCTGTCTAAGTCTCTCATCGTATCTTGTTCCCTCTTTCGTCTTTATTTTTTCATCGACGTTTATGTGTTGATACTGGAACCTCAGAGTCGTTTTGTATCTTGTGCTTGTATACGTATACGATACACAAGTGAAACTGTTATTTATCTTATGTTATCAACAACCGTTCTATGTCATGCAAACGGTTGGACTGGTCTCGCTTCATTTTGGTGAAATTGTGACTTACGTTTTTAAAAATACTTTTTGTAATATTGGAATTTTTATAGAATCAGCATTTTTAGGTGTAATAAGTCCATTTTTATAGGTATGAATGTTAAGTGATGTTTTCATTAGAGTAAAAATTTAAAGCAATATGATTTAAACTGCTAAACAAATTTAGAATATGTCGTAAGGGCGATTCGAGGTCATCCTGGAGAATAAAATTGACCTACTTAAAAATATATCTTCGCTATCTTAAGAGTCATCGTTTATTTAAAGTTAAATGAAGTCAGTATATCAATTTTCATATCACAACCTGACGTCTTACAAACATATAACTTTTATTGAACGGAGATACTTGATAAGCCTATCCATTGCAAATTTTTTTAACACGAATCAGTTATACACAAGTAACTCTTAAAATATAAATTTAAATTTATGGAGCGGCGTTAGCTCAGTGGTAAGCGTGCTTGTCACTGATACAACGCGGTTCTATAGAACCCTATAGGGGTCGTGGGTTCGATTCCCGGTGAATGCAAATTTTTTCAAAAACCGTTTTCATCGGGAAAAGTTCCTATGTAACCCCGGCTGTTTCGGGGCGGGTTTTCCCGTGGAATTATCCTTCAGAGTAATTCCAGGGCTTTTTCCTTGCCCCACAGGTCTTCGGGCCTAGGTGAATGCAAAACAGTGTTAGGGCTATAGGTAGGGATTAGCCAGCATTGGCCGTGATGGTCAAAAGTTTGCTGCCAACCGCAACCTTCAGAGCCATTTTTTATCAGCGCCACCGCTGGCCAAACTGTGAACTATCGCTGATGTATAAATATGATGTATAAATACCAGCGCCTATCACCCGATGACTTGGGGTGCTTACTGGCAACTGTAATACATAGTAAAATTCTAAACAATAACACAAGCACCTATCACCCAATAACTCGGGGCGTTTACTGGCCACACTATTAAATAATAAATTATTAACTAATAACACGAGCGTCTATTACCAAAGATCCTTGTTAAATTTCACAATTAATTGAAATATTAAATTGATGACATCGCAACCCTATAAAATAGTACCTTTTGGACGCTACATTTCCATACATCAGTACAAAAAAAAAGTGTTTTATGGGATGTACCATATAATTATCCTAGTGTTATTAACGCCTATTAATTAATAAATTGTAAGTTTCAAAATCTTTTTAAGATTTCTTTATCTTTATTGTACGTTGCATCATGAGTCGTTGCGTTTCTAATAATTAATATTATTAATAAATAATTGACTATCGCCCTTACTAATATCTCTCTATATGATAAACCAATGAGAGCTTTCGTGTTTATTAATAGTTTATTATCTATTTTGTTCAACTATATACTCATCTGGAATCATTTTTTTTTCTTTAATTGTAAATAGAGCCCCCGGATATCGGATGGTAGGCGTTTGTCTTATACATTAACGTTTTTTCAATAGTCAATAGTTAAATCAATAGAGTTACCAATAAGCGCTCCAGGTCATTGGGTGACCGGCGATTGTAGTATTAACCGGGGCTGCCGACGTGATTTAAATGATTAAAATCAAGATTAAATCACTCTTAAATCTTAAATCATCACAAAAAACTATACTTGTTAAAATAACACTGTAAATCATTAGTAGTTTAAATATGTACGATATAAATAATGTTTTGAAAAATTGTATACGTTTAGAAAACGATTAATTTAGGATTTAAAATTAAGTTATTAAAAACACAAAGATAACACTTACGTGACTAAAACATGTAAACACATCTTAAATTTTTTTACGATTTTCAATAATAATTTCACTTATAAAAATGGTTTGAACTTATATACATACATATCACAAATATAATAATACAAAAATAGAATAATATTCATGACGTCCAGAGATATTCTAATTGTAAATCGTTGCATAAAAAAAATTAAATTCGTGTTTGTCTTTCAAATTGTTTTTGGGTATTGAATGGTTCATAAATATGTCATTAATAATAAACGACAATAAAATAAACAATCTTATGAGTTTCATGCTGCTTCCTTTCTAATAGAAAAACTTAAATATATACATGAATTAGCTCGGTAATTCTGAGAAAACATATTTTATTACTCTTGTAACGAGGACAATTTAACATGTCTTGTTTAAGATTTCATAGTGATTTATGTATAGTTTAAATATTATGAAAATTTAAATCTCAGTTAACAATAGTAACAGCATATACCATTAAAAAATATGTAACAAATTTCAACTGTGGCATGATTGATTTTTATAAAATGAAAAATTGCGTTACACAAATCGACCGTTACAGCGAATTATCATCAATTTTTAAATATATTTTAATCGGTTTTCATCAATCCAATAATTAAATTGATTTTTAGCAAGAATGAACAAGAGCGATGTAACGTGGTTAAAATATTCTTTATGATTTATCTATTATTACAAGAGAATGGAAAATAATGTGCTTTGTTGCCGTTGATTCAGTGTTAAATTTTTTTTTTTTAATGAATAAAAAATTAATCAGAATAGTTATTTACGGGTCAAGTCATGCAGTGCTTTGTTAAAACAAAAAAATTGCGATGTGACTTATAGTGATTTAATTTCGATTCAACACTGACTGAATAACGATTTAAGTGTGATTTAAGTTCGATTTAAATCGTTAAATCACCAAAAAAAAATTTTTTGGCTAGAGTAGTGAAATATATCCAGGTTTGTGTAGGGTCATAAATGTATCAATTTATAACTGTTGGTCCATCGAAAATCTCTTGATCGATTTTACAGAATCTTGATCTCTTCTTTTTGTTTTTGGATCTTACTATTGCTTAATTAGGAGATGTCGATTGAATCATTGATTTTCTTTTTTCATTCGGTTTTGATGACATTACTAAACTGACTTTTGAAATAAAAAAGATATTTCAGCATTTATTTGTAGTTTAAATTGGAATCCTTTGTGGTAGAGAGCCTGGAAAGTTAAAACTTTTTCCGAAAATTGAGATTTGCATCCATATAATTGAATCAGGTTTGTAAGTGTGGACTTTTTGTAAGCATGCACGTAATCAGAATCACTTAGACGTAAGGATAATTTGATAATTTTGACAATTACATGATTTTTTTTTTTTATTTAATAAATTAGTTCCCAATAATTAATTTTTTTTAATACATGTATGTAACCAACTTTCAAAATTTATAATAATTCTCAATAAATACATTAATTTATATACAATTTAAATAAATAAAAATACGTTCCCAGATAAATAAATCAGAGCAGTTGTCAAAGGAGATTCAAAGGAGATTCAATTAAATTTAACTTAAGATCCAATCACTATTCAATTGTGATTTGAATCTCAAATCAATGATAATTAAATGACAAATATCATCACGAAACCCAAATTAATTAGGACTAGCAAAACAAAATGTTACAATAAATATGCCATTCTTAGATGGAACTTTTCATTTATATCGATCGAATGTCGTTTACACAAATTCAATAGACATTGAATGCGTATTTATGTAAAATTAAGTTTTGATTAAACAGCCATTTGATAAAGATTTATATTTTCCTCTTTGAGGTAGCGCTCTTTTCTTGTTTTTTATTAATTTATGTTAAAATATAATAATTTACAATAAAAAAAAAAATTATATAATTGTTTGTTGGGTTGTAGCGTTTCAAACTTTTGATAAACAGCTGAGAATCAAAATGCTGCTGAGTGCTACAAAACCGGTAGGTGGCTATTTATTTTTTGGTACAACTACAAAGTTATGGAGTTGCACCACCTGGTAGAGACAGAAAATTTTATCGCAAGAAAAACTTTCAAAAAAATGCTAATTTCGTCTGAGCTGCAATCGTCTTTAAAACAGTTTTATTCACGATTCAATAGAGATTCAAATAAATTTAAATAACGATTCAATCATTATTTAATTGTGATTTGGATCTCTAATCAAAGATAATTTAATGACGAATAGCATAACGACACTCGAATTAATCAGCCAAACGGAAAGGTATAATAAATATACCATTCTTAGATGCAATTTCTCATTTATATCGATCCAATGTCATTACAATAAAAAAAATCTAATTTAGTAATTCGTTGAGTGACAGCGTTGCAAATGTTACATATATACCTGAGATAATCTAAAAGCTGCTGTGTGCTACAGAAACGGTAGGTGGCTATTTATTCTGTTATAATAAGCATCAGGAAACTAAAATAAATTAGAACTAACAAAACTAAAATGTATAATAAATATCGAGATAAATATCCTATTCTTAGATGGAACTTCTCAATTATATGGATTTAAAGCATATTTAAGTAAAATTCATTTTGGATTTAACTGTCATTCAATGAAGATTAAATTTTTTTTGTTGAAGTAGCGCTTTTTTGTTTTGTATTAACTTACTTTAAAAATAGAATAATTTACATTAAAAAAAAAAAATACTTACATTTAGTAATTCGTTGGGTTATAACGTATCAAACTGTAGATAACTAGCTGAGACAATCAAAGTGCTGCTGTGTGTAACGACTGAGGCGAGTTACTATAAGATAAACTGAGTGACAGACTAGCAACATTTAGTAAATGCAGAAAATCTCCTTTGTACGATAACTCATAATACCCTTTATGTTTATTTAAAATTATTTTCCATAGAAACCTCACGTACTACAGAAGGCTATTATGAACCTCAATCAAATAGTATCTACTACCTCTTTTCAACTTTACAATGTCAAAAATGAAATAACAAAAAAAAAAGTTATTCTATAAAAAAAAAAATTAACAATTTTTTTTCCAT